CGGAAGAGAGCTGAAATAATGACACCCCAATATACTGAAAAGCAGGGGCCACGGAAGAGTACGCACGCTCGAGCCACGATAGAACAGATAACTGTGAGAGCGCACGGAAAGGAATTATACCGCAGTACCACGGTAGAGCATGGTACACGGTCGACGGACCAGGCGTGAAGTCACGGGATACCATAAACGGGAAAGCATCGACGATGCCAGGGTAGAGCTGAGCCATGGAGCACGACTATGAATGAGTATGGACCACAAAACCTGTCAAAAATCACGCAAGCCCTTGGGGGCACGGAATAGCTAGCAGCCACAAAAGAGGGCGGTGTACGGAAGAATGAAACGAAAAGCGATAATGTATAACCACTAAGCGGGGTTAGAAACCGGTGAGGAGGGAACCACGAAGCAACGAAAGACACGAAAAAGCACGGGTCATGCAAAGCGTGTAGCCCAGTCTGTAGTACAGAGAAGCGTAAGATATTTGATCTTGGAATACTCCAGAGCCCGCTGGTGCCCCGGGTATGCCATGGGCGCAATTTCCGGAAATCCATCCTCACTGGGGTTGACGAATGCACATGTAGCCTCGAACACAGGACAACACACGCCACCACGAAATACTTCAGGCTGCAGCCACCTCACCTCCAACAAACTACGGAGCATGATACCAATTACCTGAGCTCACCGAGTCTCGGGAGGAAGATATTACATTTGAACAGGATTGAGCGGATGGCGGACCAGTCATGAAATCACGGGAGAACACATAGGAAGAGATCGAGGCCACGCCGCGGAGCATGATACCACGGTAAATCACGACACGATAAACACGTGTTACAGACATGCACTCTGATACCACTGTAGTACAGCCAGTTTAACCACGCCACGACACCACGGTAGTACGCCGACGATACACGGGTGATGGAACAACACGACTGTGTGAAGGCACCGACACGACGAAAAGGCACCGGCGCCGCCGATGGGAGGCTAACGGCCACGAAATACTACGTACCACGAAACCAGTGCAGCCCACGTAAACGTTTGAGAACAGGGAATAGTTAGCAGCCACGAAGAGGGCGTTCTAAAGAGAATGAACCCAAATACGAGAGCGTTTAACTACTACGCAGCGTGTGCCACGGGTGAGCAGGGAGCCACGAAGCCAAGAAAGCACGGAAGAGCATTGGCCATTGAAAGACACATCATCCAACCTCTTGTACGGGGAAACGGAAACGTTTCAAACCACGATATTGTACGGGGTTGGATGAGACTACGGAAAGGTAAGTGGTTAAGTACACGAAGCGAAGATCTACTGGGTGAACAACGCTCACAAAACACGTGACACCAAGAAGCACTTAAATTTGCGAGGCACTTAAATTTGCGGCCACCTCATCTCCAACAAACCATGCCACTCCGACGCGTATTGGCGGCGGCCGACTAGTCACCCCCCCCTTTAGCGGAGTCTGGTGTCTGTCCGTTAGTCCGTCCGAGGGTAGGGCTATAAAATATAACGCAAATGCGGGCGTTCTACCAGCTGCCGAGCGCAACGAAGGCGTCGTCGCTTTGCTAAAAAGCTACCGAGCGATGCGAAGGCGGCCCTTACTGGCTAAAATCGACAATATGTGGTGTACGCATTGTATGTGGACTGCATATCGTTCTTAAAAGCACCGTACAAATTTCATTTTGTACTAATTATTAAACGCGGCTCGCAAGGCCACGCAAAGGGCGCTGCCTGTGGGTACGTTGTTTAGCATTAGTAGAATGCGTCGATGAGCACACACTTAATATATCGTCGAAGGAGCTGTTGAAAAAATCTGTAGGCTTTTGTGACTTATAATTCGGCTTCAATAGAAACTTTAGTACTAATTGGTTATAATATGATTTTTTTAGCTTGATAGCACTTCTGTTATAATTTAACTTACAGCACTATTTTTCTTAGTACTATTAAAGATACATTTCCTATTTTCGCTTGCAGTAATTTGTTGCAGTAGTACAAGGTCTTATTAATTCAGCGCTAGATAAAAACACATAGTGGTATTACTAATATTTTGAGCTAGAAATCTTTAAAATATAATTATAGTGGTCCCATAAACTCCACTCGCCGGCGCGAGTAAAAAAAGGTTTCCTTTGTATTTGCGCACGTAGTGTGCGAGCCTAAGAGAGTGTGCGCACTTGCCAGCACGATACCTAGCGTACATCCGGCGCAGTGGAACATAGTTTGTGATCGTTTTAGCGCGGGGAAGTGAAGAAGCAAGAGCACAGAAGGACGGAACAACAACAAAGCAGACTGTAAGAAAGCTGGGGCTGAAGGAATAGCACGAAGCACGGAAGGCAGCGGACGTTGAAAGAGGACTAAATCAATGAAGATATCTAGCGATTCTGAAAAGCACGAACCACGGATGAGCACGCTTCCATGAAAATTGGAATGGCAATAATATGATGGGAACGTACGGACCACGGAAGATGACTGAAATAGTGACACACCAGTATGCTGAAAAACACGGGCTACGGAAGAGCACGATTACACGGACAGCGGACCAGCCACGGAAAGGAAAGGGGGGGGGCTTGGGGTGATCACGATTGTGGAGGACGATGCGTTGTAGATCGATAACACGGGCAACGCAGATGCACTACGTGAGCACAATACGATAGACAGCAAAACCATACCGCCTTTACATGATAGCGTAATAACGCGGTCGATGGAGCCTCACCAGACGAGCACGATACATGGGCGCCGGAACAACACGACTGCGTGGAGTCACCAAACAACAGAATAGCACCCTTCGGTTAGAGTGACGGCGATGGGAGGTCAACGACGACGAAAGACCAGCTACCAAGAGGCCACGTAAGCGTTTGAGAGCCGGAAATAGTTAGCAGCCACGAAACAGGTCATACTAAAAAGCATGAGCCCAAAAGAGAGGGCGCAAAACCACTAACCAGCATGGACCACGCGTGAGCAGGGAACTACAAAGCCAAGAAGAACACGGAACAGCGCGGGTCATTGAAGAGCATGACATCCAGCCTGTAGTAAGGGTAGCCGAAGCGTACTAAAACCATGATATTATACGGGCCTACATGAGACTATGGAATGGTAAGTGGTTACGTACACGAAGCCAAGACCTACTGGGGTGAACGACGCTCACAAAGCACGCGACACCAAGAAGCACTTAAATTTGCGGCCACCTCATCTCTAACAAACCATGCAGCTCCGCCGCGTAGCGGCAGCGGCCGGCTAGTCCTAAACTATCAATGCTAGCACGGTGTCCGTCCGTCCGTCACACGAAACGCTCAGATCTTTTAACATTTCCCATTAGCTGTCGAGCGAAGCGAAGGCAGCTCCATTTGGTTAAAAGTGGGTTATGTAGCTTACATCAGTAAATTCATGTGGTTCAAAGAGCACATATGGAGATTTGCACAAGGCTATCCATTATCCGAAGGCGGCATCGTTTAAATATCACGAGTTTTAATATTTACTTTTTTAATATGGGATGTTACTTTAATTTTTGATTGTTACTTATTCTCAAATGAAGTAGCCCCTAAAGGCGCTTCCTATGCTGCAAGATGCTTATCGTACACATAGGAATGCATGTTTTCGAGGCCATACTATTAGTATACGTAATACTATGTTCTTAATAGTTTCTGCAAGTTACAGTACAATGACTATAATAACTACAACACAATATATTTAGCTTAGCGTCGTGCTCGATTTCATGGGCCATTTCTGAAACTTAGCTCGAATCAATACAAAGAATAGAAATGGCCTTCCCAGTTTGTCCAGCTTGCACTACTTACCCACTCGTACTGCTTGTAATTGACTGAAGATTAATCACTTCTCATACCAAACTCAATGGAAGCTAAAACATATTCAAATTGTAATATTTTATGCACGTAGCGTTCATTTTATTCAGAATTAGTCATTAGACACTCGATTCTGTGCCAGATGTGATTAAAGTTTTGAATAATGTGTCGCATGATGTCTTGCTGTTGTTGTTGTTGACGGAAAAGCTTTTTTTTGATATTTTAACAATAATTACAGGATGGTTACACGTCATATAGGCTCTAAGTTTTACGTTTCTGAATGGGGTCTACTTAACCAAATATAATTCACACCTCTCGTGTTTTGTTGTTGTCTTGCCGCTCCATTTAAAATCGTATCCTACGCCGCTGTCGTCGACACGTCCGCCAGTAAAGTAGTATCGGATTTTGCTGTCTAAACAACTCTTAGAAAACAACGGCTTACAGCAGTAACACATACGAGTTCATTTTGTTCATCTATCTTTATGGATCAGGTGGCAACGTTTATTAGCACAACGTTCTTTTTACGGCCAGTTCTTTTGACCAGCTTCTGTTGTACATGTACTACGATTCATCAGCTCAGCCAGTTACCTCACTCTCAGATAATTTATTAATATTTCTACATCAAAACCTTGAAGTGCAGGTGATTCTAGGTGGAAGATGTAGGTACAATGAAAGCTAACAATCATAAAGAGACTTTGTCAAGACCTCTAGAGTAATCTTCATAAGCATCGTAAGTATGATGCTAGGGACTCAGTCTTTTGTAGTACTGTAATACTTGCACGGCTTACTGGGAAATTGTAGCGACTGGTCTGAATGGAACCCAGATTTATTAAATTTTAAGAAGTCGATTTAGGCACATGGGGATTCAGAGTTTTTGGAATAATTATCCCGCCGAAGCGAAGCGGAGGCGGAAAGACAAACATATAGAAAAGAACCTAAACTACCGCCGCGTAGCTGCGGCGCTCGGCGAGTAGTGGTACTATTAATACATGTACGTAGTAGCTCTAATTATATTTACTCTTGAGTCAAGAGACTTGACTACCCGTTTTGGGCAATTTACGACAATGTAAATGTAAATGGGTTTAGAAAATTGCCCAAAACGGGTAGTCATAATACATGTACAAGACTCACCATCCAGTGATGGAGCCAGCGATGCCCATCATTTGCTTCATTCACTCCACCTTTCGCGGACCATACGCAAGGTGCAGTCCGTAATGCGCCCACTTTGCGTCGTGGTCCTGGTTGTCGCTGCTCTCCCCGCTGTAAACGCAGGAGCGCACACAAACTACCAGCGTACAATCGCGACCGGATGGCAAGAAGTCCCCTCCAGTCTTCATGAGCTCACCACCGATACATTGAGCACAGACAACAGTGTGCACGAAAGCAGAGATACCACTCGATCCGCCGTCGAAATGTTCCGCAACGCCCTGAAGTCGTCAGTGCCCGATAGTCAACTCGAAATGTGGTTTAAACACGCAGTCTCAACCGACGACGCGCTTAAACTTTTCTTACGGGACAACGCAGCTGACGACCTCTTAACCGTTTGGCTTAGCTACATGAAACGTTTTTACAATGCGGAATTGGCTAAAAAGACGAGTTTAATCGCGACCTTAACTGCCCACTACGGGGACGACGGAATGGCAAAGCTAATCGAAACAGCCAAGCAAATGCCATCCACAGCAAAGACCGCTAAGCGTCTGGAGAGCGAACTAACGCAGCTGTGGCTGGGGCGAAAGAAATCCGTGGACGACGTGTTTAAACTGCTGAAACTTGACGAAACAGGAGATCAGCTCTTCACGCAGCCTCAAATCGTCGCGTGGGCCAAGTACGTGGACGATTTCAACGAGGCCAATCCGGACAAACACGTGACGTTATTTTCGTATTTAAAAGGCCTCTACACTCAGGAAGAAACTCTTGTCAAGATGCTGATTACAGCGAAAAAGTCGCCCATGACGGAGAAAATTGCAGTCCGAATACAAGCCGAACAGAGCAAAAACTGGCTCAGCAACAAGAAATCTCCAGGCGTCATCTTCACGTTGTTAAACCTTAATGAAGACGGGATATCTCTAGTCAAAAGTCCTCTATTCCAGAGCTGGGTCAAGTACACGGACGAGTTTAACATGGTCAATCCAGAGAATACAGTGGCCGTGATCTCGGTCCTAAAAGCTCACTACAGCGACGACGTGTTGGCACGAATGAGTCTATCAGCGGACAAGACGCCGAGCACGCAGAGCGTTGCGAACCTTCTGCGCTCCGAGCTGCAACGCGAGTGGTACGCGACGTTAAAATCTGGCGACGTCGTGTTTAAAACGCTGAAACTCGACAAATCGGGGTCGAAAGTGTTCGAACGGTCCCTTTTCCCTCTTTGGAAGGATTACATGCAGTTTGTGAGCTTGAAGGACCCGAGGATTAAGGTGAGTTATATAACCCCGCTCATAAAGGTATACGGCGAGAAGAAACTGGCTCAGATCCTCATTGCAGCCGAAAAAGTCCCAAGCACTAAGAAATTCGCTACTGAACTACTCGATAAGCTTTTCTATCGCTGGCTGGACGAGAGGAAAAGCCCGACTCTGGTTTTCTCGCTGCTGCGTGTGGATGGAGCAGCAAAGCACGACGCGAGCAGCTTGATTTATAAAAAATACGCTGAGGCTTTTGCCGGCCTACCCTAAGCTACCTAACTGTAACAACAATATGTTGGTGTATTTTTTTCTAGTCAAGATAGTGCGTATGCCTTAAAATATTTAAAGTATAGCTGTCTGTATGGATCTTTCGAGTCTTCGACTCGTTCCAGCCGCAACAGAGCATATATGTCCATCGGGATCCTCTCATCCTTCAGCCAGACCTTGACTAGGTCATCTTCTAGTTCTTTAGCCATCTTCTTGGTATTCGGGTTCTTGCTGCCCGCTCGGATCACTTTTACGAGGTTCTTTTCGCCATACACATCTAGCAAATTCGTGAGAAAACTCGGTTTATATTTTGGCTCTGCAGCCCCGAAATACGTCGCGTACTTGCTCCAAACATGAAACAGCGGACGGTCAAACGCGTTCACTCCTTCGCTGTATAAATTGAGCGTCGTGAACACATGTTGAGGCGAATATTTGTGGATGTACCAGTTCCTCAACTGCTCAGTTTCGAGCCGTTTCGCGATGTTTGCAGTACTTGGCGAGCTAAGTGCTTGAAGGATCATCTTTGTCAGGGTTTCGTCACCATATTTCGCCGTTAACGTCGCGATTGTAGTGAGCTCTGTTCCGTAGTAAATCTTCCGGAAGTCGTCGGTATACTGGACCCAAGCGCGAAAAAGAGGGTTCTGGATGATGTCATGTCCTTCCTTATCAAGTCGAAGCAGTTTGAAGACGTCCCCCGGCTCCTTCTGAGTGTTCAGCCATAGCTTCGTTTGGACAGCTTGCACTTGTACTGCAATTTTCTCGGTGCTCGGAACATTCTTCGCCGCGATGAGCATTTGTAACAGAGTTTCGTCATTTAAGCGCGTAGCTAGCGTAGAGAACAGAGTAACTGGTTTGTCCGGGTTCACCTTATTGAAATCACCCACATATTTCGCCCACGAGACCATCTCAGGGTGGGTGAAAACCTTCTGTCCGGCCTTGTCAAGTTTCAACAATGTAAACACATCGTCCGGGGATTTCCCTTGATTAAGCCACAGCTGAAGCTGCTCGGTCTGTAGTCGCTTGGCGAAAGTCGCTGTGTCCGGCACTTGCTTTGCTGCTACGACCATCTTGGCCAGAGCTTCGTCGCCGTAGTGAGTTGTGAGGGTTCTGATCAGCGACGTTTGTTTTTTAGGATTTGCCTGGTTGAACAGCTTCATGTACGTGATCCACTCTGTTAACTTCGAGTTGGCCAGAAGATCGTCCGCGGCGACGTCGAGTGTAAGAAGCTTAAAAACGTCGTCGGTAGGTTTTCCCTTTGCGAGCCATTCGTCAAGTTGAGTGCTTGCGGATTTGAGTGAGTTGACAACTGTTTCCGCTGCAGGAGCACTTACACCTCTTTCTTCATCGTGAGCTCTCGTAGACTCGTACAGTCGCAGTAACCTCGGGACACTATCCATGGGAGTGATTGGACGTTCCGGTATCTCGGTTGTTTTCGGGCTCCAGTCAGCATGATCAGCGAATGTGATAGCTACCAGCAGTACGTATAAGACCCAGTGACAACGCATTTTTTTCGGGTAGGGAGCTAAGCGGGAAGTGGTCGAGACCAACCGCAGCGAACGACAAAACGCAATGCCCGCATTACAGCAATCGGTTGCGGTACTGTGCACTTGAATCACTGGATGGTGAGATATACATGTACAGCACAATGTCGTGAGCGTACATACATGCACAGTGCATTGCACTCAGTGGGTTGCACTGCACCGCTGATCCGACGGTATCAAAGTCGCATTATTAATAGACGGTGCATTCAAAAGTTTTGCATCAAAACGCTTCAGTGATTTGATCCCACGAACATGTTTGCCACGTGCTGTCTGTCATATTTTAATACCTATTTAAAGTAGAGAGTGTCTATATTGACCGACTGAGTTAACCTTCCCCTACAAATTTTTGACGCGCTCCCATCCGTACGATGTATACAGTGTGTACCATGTATACCATTCAGCCTGACAGCCACTAAATTTCGAACAGCGTAACGATCGTAAGGCTGTAGGAGGGGGAAACGGATCTCCGCGTCCGAGCCGTCCAGAAGAGGCCGCTAACTGGGGCTGTCGCGCGCGAGATCGACGAGAGCGACAGCAGCGATTCTGAGCCGCCCCGAGAAGACTCCCAGGACGACGTCTGGCTCCCAACACCCGCTGCGAGCGGTGCTGGTTCGGGTGATGGAGAGTCTTCCGAGGCTTTCAGTGTGTCGGATGTAACCGATTTAACCAGGAGCACTAGCGAGGGTGGTCCCCCCACACGCGTGGTGGCATTACCACTCAACACGGTGGAGTTCGCCTCGTGGGAGGCCTTCGACGAGTACCTGGCTGCGTATGAAGCCCAAACGTTTCAAGTATGCGAGATTCATTCAAGATTTAATAAACGGATGTCTGACCCCGCTGTCCTACTAATTTTGTGCTATCTGTCTTGTAGATATTCAGGGCGCGCTCTGATACCAGCGTGGCAGAGCGCAATGCCAGGATTGACAAGTCACAGTCAAAAGCAGCTAAAATACCAGCATCGTGGGAACAGTATTCGAGGACGTTTGTACGCACTCAGGGAAGTACAAGTCTGTAGCTACGAAGCGGCCACGCCAAGAGACTCGAGCACAGGGCTGCAAGGCGCAGGTACATATATGTCGGCCTGGTCGGGACTGGTCGGGTCCAGTCGGGGTCAATCGGGTAGTTCACTGACTGACAGTGGTTATATATGCTCTACAGATTAATGTCTGCGTCCAGGTAGTTGATACAAAGAATACGACGTTTGCTGTGCGGATCACTCGTTGCCGACCGGAGCACAATCATCGTCTGACAGGCCTGGCTTTCTCTTCACATCCATCGAAACGCATTATCCTCGACGAGTCAACGCTAACTACAGTTGATCTACTTCGAAAAAAAAGGTGTCAAGAAGTCTGGTATCATCAGCCACCTAATGAAGCACACCGACAGTAACCCCACCCCAAAAGATGTGCAAAACCTCGTCCAGAAACTAAAGGCTCGCGAACAACGCGATGGGCCTTCAAGCGCTGACAAGCGGCTTAAGAAGTGGATGAAGCAATTCGGTGATGTGCCAGGGAACGTTGGTCGGGTTTTCTTGGACGACGTTGGTGGCAAGGTAGAGTGAATGCTTTTATCAGGTCTAATGTCAATTCATGAAGTTAACATTTGTTGTTTTGTGTGCTATTGGATACGCAGAAAGTTGCGACTTGCATCACATTGCAAACAAAGCACATGCGAACACTATTCGACCAATTTCCTGAAGTTCTGATGATTGACGCAACGCACGGGACGAACCGGTCTAAGTATAAAGCTTTTTCATTCATGGCACACGATACGTTCGGCAAGGGCCAGTTTGTGCAGCACGCGCTGCTTCAAAATGAGCGCTATGAAACCCTGTTGACAGCGATAGAGGAATTCAAAGCGAACAATCCTGCGTGGTCAAGACTTCAATGTGTGCTGGTGGATAAGGATTTCACAGAACTGTCCGTACTTGAAAAGGCATTTCCTGGGGTGACAGTCTTACTTTGCCAATTCCACGTGCTGAAGTACCTACGGGAAGAGATTGCTTCAGCTGACTATGGATTTTCGAGGTCTCAGAAAGAGCAACTTGGCGGTGTTGTGAGCTTACTTGTCTACGCAAAAACGGAAGCAGAGTACGACAAACGCTTCCAGTACATGGTGCATCTTGCGTCGATTGGTTATTCCGGTCCAGTTGCGAATGATCGATCTGGTATCGTAGTCGGTGTGGAGTCGGGCTCAGTCGGTGTGGAGTCGGGCTCAGTCGGTGTGGAGTCGGGCTCAGTCGGTGTAGAAGTTACAGATCATGAACTGGAAGATGTTTCTTCTCGCATTGATGAACATCCTTTTGTGAAGTACTTTCGAAAGAATTGGGACAGCTGTCGTGAGCTCTGGTGTGCACATAGGCGCCAGAATACCGTCACACTCGGCAATAATACCAACAATCGCCTAGAAGCCTCTTGGAAGCAGCTTAAAGAGTGGGTGGATTCGTTTATGGGAGTGGATGAGTGCATCGCTTCGACCATGTACTATCAAACGCTACAAGAGCGATTGTTCATTGCAGAAGTATACAAGAATGTGACCGTCCAGCATCCTGATTACGACAGCGAGATGACACTGGTGGCGAATATTGTCAGTGAGCATGCTTGTGAACTTATATTCGGGCAGTATTCGTATGCTATTGGATCTGCGTCGTACACGTTTTATGAGGGATGCCCAGACGTGTATTTTATCAAGAGTATATCTACAGCTGATGACGCGCTGGACGAGATGAACGCCGAGTATTTAGTTACTAAGCGCGAATGGAAGTGCTCCTGTCTATTCATGTGCACGAGATTGCTACCCTGTCGACACGTTTTCTACCTCCGAAAGGCTCTTGGTCAGGAAGGAGACAGTCATCCCCATACTACTGTTAAACAGGCGGTGGCTGTTGTCTTCTGTGCGTGCGGCGATTAAAAATTCAAGTGTCGGCTCTGACACAGCGGAGCCAAAGTCTTTTGAGGTAAAAAATGTGATATCCTCACAGGCGAGACCGTGGGACTCGAACCACAAATATCGTGAAGCACTGCAATTTGCATCCCAAATTTGTGACACCATGGCGGGACGCGGCATGACGCAGTATAAAGAAGCGATGCAGTATCTTCAAAGTGTGACTGTTCAAGAGAGGCAAATTCGAGGATCCCGGTGTGCCAATTTTACCACCAGCTGAATCTGAGCGTCACGGTTCGACTAGCAACTCGCGCGATGATGCGCTGTCGCCGCCACTACTTACTGGTCACGATCCGACTGCACGGACGACTCACCACGTGTCGGCAGAACTGCTTACTCGTCATGCGGATACAGCAAATGTGAGTCATGTATCCCCAACTGCCTCTGAGTCTGACCATGCCACAAGCTGCAACTCCGTCGAAACAGCACAGGTTGCAGATTTATCGGGCCAGTCGGTCTCGATCTGAGACCAATCGGGCTCAATCGGGGGCATATCAGGTCCAGTCGAGGACGAATCGGGTCCAGTCGGGGAAGAATTGGATACAGTCGGAGACGTTGAATTAAGCACACTATCACCAGCAACGGAAGACACGCCATCTGTGATAGCGAGTCCTCCAAGATCGCGAGGACGACCAAGACAGACAGCCAGATCAAAGAAGGCAGCTCGTAAAAAACTGTCATTGTAGCTCAAGAAGACTCAGAGCTGTACGCTTCGAATTTAAGCTTGGCGTCCGTGGATGCAGCGCTGTCTTCGGATGCAACATACATATCGTCAGCTGTAGTTGTGAACAAGTTCAACATGGTGGAGTATGGCTTCAAGTTCAAGACACCTACAGCACGAACAATATCGAGCTTGCCACCCACAATCGCTTTGATACCAGCAGAGGCGATCACGCGGATATTGCGCCCTGAATAAATTGCCATTTGCAGGAAAAAGGTTTCGGCTCTGCAGTCGAAGCACAAAGGCCTAACAGAAAGTGCCGTGGCGCTGGATATTCCAGGCTTTGGTGCGTACTCAACGAGTACAATTAAGATCATGAATAGGTGGCACAGGGCAATAAAGGTGGTAAAACAGGTCGAGAAGGCTGTGAAGTGGGTCGAAACCATTGACTTCACACTCCCAATGCCTGCTCCGTTTCAAGTGGTGCTACAGACGGATATGCTGGCAAAGATGCAGTCAATCCCGCTTTTGTCTGCAAAGGTACGTCGACGAAATCATGCCATCACTACAACACTTTCTAACTAAACGTTATGTTTGACAAACAGGCAGAAATTCTAGATCTCGTCGGAAAAAAACAGCTAAGCGACGATACCATGAATATCGTCATGTCCAAGCTGTTCGGAGAACGAAATGATGTCGTCATTGTGGATCCAGGTGTTATCGGTTCCATTGATAATGAAGATAGTCCTGTCAATACCAGAGCCTTCGCTTCAATTTTCGCGGGCAAGACGAACGAGAAAATTCTGATCCCTATATGCTGCAGCAACACGCATTGGTGCTGCGTAATGGTGAACTTAAATCTGAATGATGTGTGCATCTATGACCCAATGAGCTCGAGCTATGTCGTTAGAGTCCGAGCGATCGCAGAAAAGCTGGCAATGCAACTGCCAAACTACGCACCAAGGAAATACCGAGTACACCACTACATGGGCGATCTAGGGGTACAAGTAGATTCATACAATTGTGGTATGTATGTTCTGCTAGCGTTTGAGGTATTCGCTGGTGCCCAAGGTCTGTGCATGCTGAGTAGGAAGGAGTTACAGTATCTGCGCTACAGATACATATATATGTGTCTATAGTTAACTCTTTCAACAAGTCGATTTTGATTCTGCACTTACCAGTCCCACTGAGCTCTACTGAATAAAGTTTCTCATGCTCATGACATGATGCCGGTCGTACTTGCACGCTCAAACCACAAAGTCTTCACATCCGGATATACGTATACGGACGCTTGATTGCTCAACTGACTTATTTTGTGTCGGGCATGGTCGGGCATTGATCGGGTGCTGTCGGGCACCAT